AAGTACCAGTTTGGGGGCCAGGAGAACAGAGGCTGCTGCGTTCAGAACTTTGTGATCGCCGAGGCATACGCCCATAGCGTACACTGTCTTTGGACATACCCACAGCAATGCATTTTCTGAAGCGGCAGTACTGACAGCGGTTCCGATTCAAACGTATCACAATGCATTTGCCATCCCTGAGACACTTGTACTCAATCTGTTTTTGAATGCTGCGACGAAAAAAGCCCTAGAAAGTGTAAAAAAGCAAAAATGTTTTAATTCATAGTTTTTGACAAGGGCGGAGAAGGATTTTTATTGCAACCAGAAGCAAATAATTTACCAGCTGACTATGTATACTTCCTCAAATTGTACTGAGATATGGGTCCCGTCAAAACGAAAGAAATATGTCAAAAATACCAGCGACCGAATGAGTATTTGTGGCGAAATTTGACCAAAATTCCACTACAATATAAATAACATTGTACGATCTATGCTAAAAACGTTTGGGTACTTGTTGCTGTGCCAAGAACCTTTCTTATTTGTTCACAATTAGACAAGTCGACAGAAAAAGCATGCGAGGTAGAAGAACAAAGTGCGACTAAGCTTTGTGGAATAGAAGGGTTGTGAAAAATTATTTCGATAAAAATAAAACGAAAACATAGCTGGTATTGCTTTGGTAGCCACAAGGGCCACGGCATGCTCAAAGTTTCATAGTGCATTATTAGGTGGTGAGTGGATGTCTAAAATTAAAAAGGAGAGGACTGCTGTAACATCGAGTCGCGTGGGTTGTCCAGAGTCTACAATTTAACAATATCTAAAAGACTTCCGAAAAATTCTGCCAACAGACGATTTATTAACAACTGTGTTATAAAAATGCATCAAAGGGGAGAAAAAATTCCAATTTTCTGTTGGAATACCTTGCAACCTTCACATGAGACGACCCCGTAGTGATAACCGCTGGCCTTGTCACCGCATACTTTGCAAGGCGTAAATGAGCCCTTAACTCCACCAATATTAGAATTACTGTCTGGAGAAGAGATTTCTGTTCCACTGGTAGATGAACGCGAACCAATACGAGAATGCGAAAAGTTCGAATGAACTAAGGGCCGCTCGTAAGCACGCGAAGATAATTCGTCAAGCGGGGGCTTACCACCGACGTCTTTGTGACGTGTGAATGAACGACTGCTAGTTCCATTTGTTCCTGAAGGATACTTTGTCGTTGCTGGCTGAGACTGAATGGATGCAGTATTTGTGTGGGAAACTCCATAAGCGGCTGGCAAACGTGCAATGACACTGAGATCGCCGGATTCCAGATGAGAATTTACAGAAGGATACAAGGACACTGTAGAAGGTGAATATGTCTGCATCGAAGTTTGAACACCGTGCTGCAGCCCAGGAGCATAGAAGGCCGAATTCGGGGCTGACTGTCGAAGATAAAAGGAACTTTGTGTACTTTGAAGAGGATTTGAGTAACTTGGGGAGTACATAATTTGTGATGGGTGTCCGTGCGATGAAAAAGCGGGCTCTTTGAGAACTTGGGGATTTGAAAACTCCTGCGGGCTCTGAATGTACGATTGATTCATCGAAGTGCCGAAACGACAGGAATGTCGTGGGTATGTGTGAGGACACTAGGGTCCTAGAAGAATCTCGATCGCATGCGGTTAGGAAAGGCAATATGGGATGGACGACAGCTAAAATAAGAGAACCAATGTAAATCCTCAGAAAATAATTTGATTATTATTTGGTTTTATGCGATCGCACCAAATAATATAAATAGAAAACCTGCAACAAGAAACCCGAAGATCTACGTTGAAAAATAAAAATACGAACGGAACAAGTAATCTATTTAGGAGGCAAGTGAATCTAATGAACGAAAAATGTTCACTAGTGTGTTACCCAACGTTTTAAATAGAGCCTTCCATATAAATAATGCTTAGTTGTTGCGAATATTATCCTAGAAAGTAAAATTTTGATATCGAATGTACAAACCTGAGTATGAAAATAATTCGGCTTTTATGAAAACTGGTAAAGCCGTGCTACGTGTGATTCACCGCGGAGAGTACAGATGAATGCAAAGGCAGTCTAGTAAACGCAAAATCGGTCAAGGTCATCCTTGGGTTTACGCTGATAGTTTAAACAACAGTTTTCAGACTGTGTGTAGATGATGAAAGTCTGGGAATAAATATATAGCTTAAAAATGGGTGATAGGAGATAATTCAATTGATAATTTAACGGGAATTTTCTACATCAGAAGAAATTCGCAGTTCAATGCAATAAAAATACAGTTACTCTATCAGGTAGAAAGCGAGTTGACC